GAGTAGTCGTCGACGACCACCAGAAAGTAACGCTCCCTCCCAGACCCCTACGTCGGGGCAGGGCCCCAGACGTCCAAGTGGAGAGTCTCGAAGGGAGCGGTGGCCGGACGAAGGGAGGAGGAGTGGGGAGTGGCGCGTAAGCGACCGGCGACGCACGGAGAGCAAGGGGGAGCAAGCGAGGGAGGGAGCGACGGGAAGGTGCGTGGGAGACCTGTGACAAGTCCCTGACTGAGCATGCCACGAAGGCGAGGGATCGACGGGTGGCCAAGGCGGTGGTGCCACAGGACGGTGCGGTGGGCGAGAGAGCGACAGGAGCAAGACGCAGCGACTGGACTGGACACGACCACCTGACTAGACATCTCAACCGGACTGGACGCCTGGACAGGAGGGGACGGGACGACCTGAGGGGAGGACGTAACCGGGGAGCGCTCGGTGTGGAGGACGTAGAGACCGGAGCGGGGCTCCCTGGTGAACGTGGCGAGAACAGCACCTGTGGCAGCGTCTGTACAGACCGCAGTCCTCCCACCCCCCATAAAGGTAACCGTGATCCCTCGGTCCTGGAGGTATCCAACACCCACCAAGTTCCGAGTGAACGAGGGGATGTGGAGACCGCGCAGGACCCCAGAGGGGACCACCGGACACGGGAGGGTCGTGGAGCTACGAGCAACGGCTGGTCCAGAGGTAGGATCAGCCAGAGCCACCGAAACAGGGGTGAGGAGTGGCGTAAGGGTCGTGTGATCGCGGAAGAAGCACTGCGACGCGCCCGAGTCCAGTGTGAAAGACAGGGACGCCTCAGCCGGAGAGTCACCTGTCCTAGTAGCTACACAAGCACCTAGAGCAGCAACACAAGCACCTAGACTAGAAAGGCACAACGCTACACTAGCAGGAGGCAAGCAAGCTAATCTACGAACACGCGAGCACACAGATCCATCAGCACTAAAGTCAGCATCAACATACAAAGCATGCTGACGCGCATCGTCCATGGACAGATCAAAGACATCAATCTTACGAGCTAACAGACGAGACCAGCGAGGTGTGACCGCCAGCGGGCCCCAACGAGCACGGTAGAGATCGTCGAGACGGCGGAAGCACCGCGCGGCAGAGTGGTCGTCGCGACCACAGAGACAGGGGCTCCCCGGTCCGGTGACGCACCAGTGAGTGCAGGGGCCCGTGTCACGGCGGGGGGGGCGAGGGGCCCATCTGGAAGTGCTGCTGCTGCGGCCGGTGCTCCCAGGTCCTCCTGGACCCCACTGCGGCGGGGGACCCCAGTGCTGCTGCAGACCCCAATGCAGAGGGGGCCCCCACTGCTGGGGTACCTGCTGCTGCTGCGGTCCCTGCTGCTGCTGCTGCTGTCCCTGCTGTGACTGGTGCTGCTGTGGCTACTGCCGCTGTGGGCCTCCACCAGTAGGAGGGCCTGTCTGTCCTGCACCTCCTCCAGGGCCCCCTCCTCCTGGTGCACCACCGCCGCCGCTGCCGCTGCCGCCTCCACCACCGCCGCTCCCACCTCCACCGCCCCCTCCACCGCCCCCTCCACCGCCGCCGCCGCCGCCCCCACCTCCCCCCTTCCCGCCCTTCTTGCCACTCTTGCCCCGTTTCTGCCAGTCTGCGGCAGAAACGGCAGCGGTGTCCCCAGAGACCGACACAGCAGCAGAGGCACGGGTAGCGGTGAAAGTGGGAAGCTGAGGGGCGGAACACCCCGCAAAGAGACGGGGGGCCACCGCATCAGTGGCGGAGGCAACGGTGAGGAGACTGCTCTCGATGGTCCCGAGAGCAGTCGCGAGGAGGTCGATACTGAGCTCAGTGGGGTGCTTCTGTAGAAGCGCGTCGCGGGCAGTGGCAAGGCGGTCAGGGAGGCGGATGACTAACCAGTGCACAGTGAGCCACATGGGGGGGGGGAGCAACAAGAAGCTGTGCGTCGGTACAGGCCGCACGAAAACCGGCGTCAAGCCAGCGGAGGTGAGTCACTAGGTCGGAAACAGTCGCAAACGAGCCTAGGTCGGGAAACACAAACGGCATGAGGAGGCGACTGAGGGAGGCAGAGGAGGGGGTGGAGTAGCGGGCAACAATAGCATCCCAAACCCCCTTGGCTGTCTCCACCTGGTCAAAGTGGGCGGCCTCAGTCGGGGGGAGAAGCTCCGATAGTGTGAGAGCGGCGGCAGCGTCACGCGAGAGCCACACGTCCCTGGCCAGGACCCGACGGTCGTACTCCACCTGGGCCGTAGGGGTCGGCTCCGGGGTGGTCGGCAGGGCGGCGGGGGACGGAGGGGCCGGTAGGACACCAGACGCGTGAGCCCACAGAGTGGCGACGTCCTGTCGCTGGCTGGTGAGGAAGCGCGTGGTCTGGCGCTGCCAGGTGCCGAACTCTATCGGGCGTCCCTCCGCGTCGAAACGGAGGCGACGCGACTCCATAACGGATGTCATGCTAGAGGCGGCTGGAGCACGGCGGAGGCTGAGCTAAGAACGAGGAGGAAACCTACGGAGCGCCAGGAGGGAGAACGGCGGAGTGAGAGGCTAGGAGCACTGAGTGACCTAGGCTAGGCGTGAAACGGAGGATCTCCAGCTACAACGGCTAGGGGCGCGATACTAGCGGCTAAACGGCTCGAACCTAGGCGGGCGGCGAGAGAGAGCGGCTGCCAGCCGCTGGGTGATAGACCAGTGTCAGTAGAGCTGGGGAGGGCCCTGCGCACAAGGCGGTGGCGGGGCTAGGGCGCGTGCCAAGGGTGGGTAACAGGAAGAGAGGGGCGGGGGGGGGGAAGTTTGCGACGGTGGAAATGGGCGGGGAGGGCGGTTTTGACGGTGGGAATGGGCGAGAGGGCGGTTTTGACGGTGGGAACGGGCGGGATGGCGGATTTGACGGTGGGAATGGGCGGGAGGGCGGTTTTGACGGTGGGAATGGGCGGGGAGGGCGGTTTGACGGTGGGAATGGGCAGGGAGGGCTGTTTTGACGGTGGGAAAGGGCGGGGGGAGGGCGCGACGGGCTAGGGCTGGTGTGGGCAACGGGCTAGGTCGAAGGCTGGGGCGACGGGCTAGGGCTGAGGCGTGGGCGACGGGCTAGGCGCGGGGGGCGAGGGGCAGGGCGTACGGGCCGCGCGTGGGCAACGGGCAGGGCGCACGGGCTACGCGCGGGCTAGGGGCAGGGCGCACGGGCGTCGCGACGGGCCGGGGCAGAGCCTCCGTGCTACGCGCTGGCTAGGGGCAGGGCGCAGGGGCGCCGCGACGAGCTGGGGCAGCGCCTACGGGCTACGCGCTGGCTAGGGGCAGGGCGCACGGGCGCCGCGACGGGCTGGGGCAGAGCCTACGGGCGTCGCGCGGGCTAGGGGCAGGGCGCGGGCTAGGCGCGGAGGGTGCAGTGGCGCGGTTTAGGCGCGGAGGCACAAAGGGTGCGGAGGTGCGAGCTAAGCGCGGAGGGCGCGGAGGGCGCGGAGGGCGCGAGCTAGGCGCGGAGGGCGCGGAGGGTGAACACTAGGCTAGGAACGGGCTAGGAACGGTCCTGCTCGTGATACCATCTCAAGAGTGGTTAGCAACGGAATGGTGTGAAACTAGAGAAACAAGACATACAAATAGAGTTGTACCCCTTAGAGTGCTACTCACTGTAGCCTAAGAGACTATAAGGGTACATTCCGCTTTGGATTTGTGTCCCAATCGATGTGTCCCAATCCCCTTCCCGCCGAGTCGCGCTCACATTTCTCGAATCTGCATGTCCCAATCGATTGATGTATTGCGACCCTGTTGTGTTAAGCGACAATTATTTGCGACCCCCTGTGATTGGTCACTGTCCAACCTGGCACACTTCCACCCCCGAAGCACAAACACCCCCGCGCCTGTTGTGCGGAAGATGCATGTAATTGTACGGGGAGACCGCGGATACACAAACAACACATCCGCGCTACCAATAATTGCCGAAACGGTAATTGTGGCATCTCCCGTCACACACAATGAGCAATTATAAACATCCAACACACCAGCTAAAAAACTACCGACTCCAAATCCACACAACATGGCAGAGCCTAGAACCATCCCATTCATCCTACGCCTACTCATCGCCTGGGTCACCTACTACTACACCATCTTCCACGAAAATGTCGCGAAAAGCTTTGTAGGCCTCATAGAGTCAGGCGTGTTCGAGGACGAGGACGAGCAGTCTTCATCGCTCGGGGACGATTACGGGGAGAACCGCCGTCACAGAGCGAGGGTACGGAGGCGACGTCACTGTCTGTGGGTTGAAGACCTGCAGCACATGCGGGAGAACGACTTTCAGGATCTGTTCAGGATAAACCGCGCAATTCTGGAGCATATCAAGACAGGGCTGCAACACTACCTAGAGCCCATAGTAAATCGGTCAATACTCACCTTGGACACCGCTGTGCTTATCCCAATCAAGTACCTTGCGTCCGGTATTTCGTACGTGGACATGTCGTACCTGTTCGGTATCTCAAAGACGCTTTGTCACGAGCTGGTCGACGTGTTTCTCACGGAGTTCCCCTCTGTCTTCAAGGCCGCCTGGGTGCGCTTCCCCACACGTGAAGAGCTTCCTGGGATGGCGCGCGAGTTTGCTGCCGTCAAGGGTATACCTGCTGTAGTGGGTGCTGTGGACGGGACTCATGTACACATGAAGGGGATGGAAGGGCACAGAGCATGGAGGACATCATGGACGACTGGGCACAATGTTTCAACTACTGTCAGAGCGCCACACGCATGGCGGTGGAGAGATGCATCGGCGCCTTCAAAGGGAGATGGCGCATCTTCGCCCAGCGCCCCTGCATGGTTGTGGCGCATGCTCGCCGGGGCCGCGTGTTGTGTCATACTGCACAACATGTGTGAAGATATGCAGGATGTTAGGCGGCGGAACATGGCATGGGAGAACCTACCCCGCAACCGCGACCAATGGTGGACGCGAGGTGCTATTACGACACACAAATGGGAACCGTGTGTTCCGCCAACACAACAGGCACTGAGGGAGAGGCGGAAACGACTGGGGGAGGCGCTCCAAGAATCTTACGCTAATCGTCGGCGCCGCGCACCCATATCTCCACATCCTCGGCCGCCGGAGTGACGGTGTTGTCGTCGCCCACATCCTCTCGCGGCCGCGCGGTTTCGGGGGGTGGCGCGGACTCCCCTCGTGGCGGCGGTGGGGAGAAATCCGGCGGCTCGCGGTGCACATCCGGGGGAGCCGAGTCAGACATGCGCTCGCGGGCAAGTCGGAGGTCTTGCGCCATCCATTCACGGACGAGGCCTTCTATGCGAGTCATCGCGTCGCCGTGGCAGTCCTTGATGGTGGCGGAGACCAGCATCGCCGCTTGCATGGTAGCCGTCTCATGCACCCGGGCTCGCCTGGGTGTGGCAGGGGTCGTAGGCGGGGGAGCTGCGACATAGGAGGTGCGAAGAAAGTATGTTAGAGCCTGTCGTGCACACAATGTTTTTGTATGTTGCATTTCTGCCGACAATAAAAAAGCAAAGTTTGAACATAGAACAGTGAGGCAAGCATGTGAAATCGTACCGAAGCGGGAACACGTACTCACCCGTATAGCATGGAGTTGACGTGCCTGGCTGGGACGAAGTTGGAACCTCCATGCCCGCCGGCACGTTGACGGTATTCGCCCCACCTACGTCCACGGCATGCGGTGCGGCTGCGGCGGTGTCTTGGTTGTGCAGCTCCAGGTACGGATACCACGGTGGTTTCTCCACCGAGCCGTTGCCCGACCCCCCGTCGGCACGCTTGTACTCTTGCCACAGAAGTATCAGGTTACGCCACTGTTTCTGCAAGGCGTTGACTCCCTTGCACCATCCGGGATTCGACTCCTTGATGTGTGCGAGCAGCCGGGCCCAGTATTGCGTCCCCTGCTTCCCCTTGAGAGGCTCGAGCTCCTCTTTCATGAACCATTTCGCCGCGGCGAAAATGGTGCTCTCCTTGTCAGACCATAAGCCGCGCTTGACTGGTGCGGCCGCCCGTTTCTTCCGAGGCTCTGGGCGTGCCGCAGGTTGCGCCGCCTTGCCTTTGCCCTTGTCGGACCCTGCCTTGCGTGCGGTGCTCCGTTTCGGCCGGCGGAGCGACTGGCTGTGTTTCTTCCGGGGCGTCCTCCTCGGCATCCTCGTCGTCGTCTTCGTCGTCGTCGCTGGGCGACATTCCAAGGTCCGCCGGTTCCTCCTCCTCGTCGTCGGAGGCGACGTCGTCGTCTCCTTCGTCGTCGTCAGCATCGGAGTCGTCTTCCTCCACGACTGGACGGTGCGTTGCGGCCGTCCTTGCAGGCTGACGGCGCACACGTGACGGTGCAGCCGTGGGCGACTGTGCACTGGACCCCTGGCCGTCAATTTCGGGCGGCGCGGATAATCCCCTGGGATGGCGACCGTTGGCGATCTGCTGGTTCATCCAGCGGATGTAAGGTATGTCGTTTAAGTCCTTGGGGCAGTCGTTAAGGGCCTGCCCCTTACGCTTACGCGCCATGCTTGCGGTTGGATGACTGCTAGATCTAGATCTAAGGGGAGATGCGGCGGGAGAAGATGACAGAGAGATACTTCAAAGCAGGTTTACAAGCTTGACCTTGTAGGGGGTTGGGAGGCGTAGGAGTTGAGGTGGAGGTGCACAAGGACGGGGGGGAAGGCGCAATGGCGGGGTAGTGCGCGTCCCTGTCAATAATTCTGGATGGTTCGCTTCGACCAATCACAACGCAGAGTACGCGTTGGTGGGGACAGAGGGTGGCGCAAAATGTAGTCTAGATACACGCTGCATGGGATGACATTTGGTGGCGCGTGCGATTGATGGGGTGTGTTGCAATTAGCTGGCGATAATTCCGTGAATCACGCCACCCAATGATAAATACATTCGGCGACAACCACGGGCGGCACGGCATTCCAACACCTGGCAGCATATGCTGTACGTACGCGTCCCAATCGATTGGGACACATCGATTGGGACATATTCTACAGCGGAATGTACCCTAACAACATTTGACACTAATGGTCATCTGACTTTACACATACTACATTTGAAAGAGGAAATAACCCACATATACTGTAATTCCACAAATGCAAGCACACCTCGGGCGTATAGAGTGACGTGACCCAACCAAGGTGCTGTTTTCTAGGGCAATTCATTGGTCAGTGACGACACATGCTACTGCAGTATGCAGCGGCAGCATCAAACAAATCCACTTCCACCATTCAATAGGCTAATCCACCGGGCTCCTGAGGATATCAATCATCTCCTTCTCAAACCGCGGACTTTCATGATCTGTCGCAGGGCCACCCATGCACTTGTCCGCCATGTTTGCAATCAGAAAGCCGCCAAAAACCTGCGAACAAATACTTAAATTGTAAGACATAGTACACAATGGAGATTGTTGAGGCACAAGAACGCAGCAAATTCTTGACTCACCTGGACAGAACCAAGAATATACACAAATGAGTACTGACGGCCATGCATCACCATGTCCGCGACCATGGCAAGTGGGATGGTTAAGGACAGACCCAGTGTGGCAACAAGAGGTGTTGTCCATACAACTGATAACGCCCTGCATACAGAAAATAAACCAATCCAACATAAAGCGCAATGTAGGGCAGACGGTGTACACAGATGCGTGCCTGAAAATAGAGCAGATTAGATAGTGATATTTCAGAAGACATGTGATGACAGCTCACCAGCAGTAATCTGAGACCACACTGCCAACAAGGCTGTTGGCAACAATGTCCTCGTCGAGATTGACAGTGCTAGGCATAACGGCCAATGGTTCCCATCCAACCACATGAAGAGGAAAAACTGCCAGAATACACATGGATAACATGAGGGCTGACATACAGGGAAACTAAAGTGCATACCCCCCTTCCCCCCCACAAAAAAAAAGATAAAAAGCATATGAAACCGCCATTGCTCAGCTCACCAATCCACCATAGCCCGAGTAAGGTAACCAAGCCAATGTACCCAAACACTTTCTGCATATCAGCTTTCTCCTCCCCTGCTTCATCATCACCGACATACTTGCGCAGAAGAGCTGCAGATTCAGCACAACATGAAGTAAGAAGTTGCATCTCAATTGGTGCCAATGTCTACTACGCAAATTGCTTACTTGTGTATACTCCATAGGAAACTGCAGAGAGGAGGCCGAATATATCACCAACAAGATGTTGACTCGGTAACCTGCAACGGACAACAAGTGAGAACGACAGCTTGTCAGACGATCATCATACACAAAACACAACCAGGCAGACTATCAGAGTGTAGACAAAAGACTTACACGTATTGACCAGCTCCTTCGCCAGGATTTCTTGCATCGTCACCAAATACGGTGCTATCATCCGCTGCAGTACTTTTGCCGAGCTCAGTCATAACCACCCCAGCGATGCTCACCAGGACTGCAACCACCTTGGATGTTGTTAACTTCTCATTTCCTAACGTAACCCCGAAAAGAAGAGTGAAAAGGCCTGATGTCGATGAAAGAATGGTTGTGCTGGCCACGCTTGTCAATGATAGCGCAGCGTTTGACAGGTACTGCATGGAACGTGAACAATCAAAACAGCCTAAATCCCCAGAAAGGTGGCAGCAGGGAGAACAAGTAGAGCAGCAAATTGAGCAAAGGGCGACGGGCTGGGATGAGACCGGACCTCAGTAAGCAACCAGAGCGGTGCCAGGACGAGAGCACACTTGATAATTTCCCGGGTGGAGAGTTTCGCAGCACGAACGGGCTGTGCGATATCCGATAACGACTTTTGAAGCAGCAATTCCGTATCCAGGTCGCTTTCTTCATCCATCGAGCTGTCATCGATCTCACGTGGAGGCTTCGAGGGCCTCTTGTGGTGTCGAGGCTCATTTAGTCGTTGCAATTCGCCGCCGCTCGAGTGTGTTTTGAGATCCTTTAGAGATTTTGAAGTCGCGCCGGGTACAACAGGGCTAGGTTTGCTTATTAGCGGAGTGATGCACTCCCTAAGGTAGGCGATCGGAAGGTAGATGACCAACAGTGCCGCACCGAGCCACGTGAGCAGGAAGGGATGCCTGTATTTTTCGAAGATAAGCTGCACGAAGAAGCAACAGTTACTTACAGGCGATAGAGGTGTCTGACGAAAAAGCGAGGTACTAGAAAAACTACTGGCTTACCTGTGTCACCTCAGCGGAGGTAACCCAGATGAAAACTACAAAAAGAATAAGTAGCAGGCCAATATTATACTTCCACTTTGAGCCTGCCATCAGACGGGAAAGCGCAACCTAGGATGGCTGACGGAATCTGAAGTTCACTCATCAGCAGACGAGCTCTGACCACTCACGTATCCGTAAAGGAAGGCCCTAACAGAAGTAGGTTCTCCAGTGAAACAGATCAACCATGTGATTGGGAAGGGAGGGACACTTGACATAGGATAGGCACCAACCAGTCCAACTGAACCCACGTGCTGGGGGGAGTCCTCTTGACATTTTTTCGGAGGTTGGAGTTCTGTCAACCTAATTTGGTCGCCTAGAGAAGCCTTCGCAAATGTTCGCGAAGGGTGCCCAGTGGCCTACCGAAAGCGATATCCGGTGGAACGTATTCCTTCCTACATGGATACTCATGGGTTATCACGGCTCTTCTCCAATCGCGTAAACTTGGAACATGCGTGATCAATCTGGCGACGATGTCACGACACCCTCGAAGTTAGTTACTTTCGCAAAAAGCGCAGTCCTATTATGGTCCTAAAATAAGTGACACATCCTTACTGTCACCATAAATATCTGGTCGTCTCATCAAATGCCCACCTACGATAGTGAACACCACCGACTTGCAAACAGCCTGAAATATCCCTACAGAAAAAAATATCGTTTTAGTGAGTAATCAACAATCTGCTTTCAAGTAGTATGACCAGTAACCATCAAGTGAAAGCAAATGTGACATTGTCAAGGGTGTGGGGTCGACAAGCAAGCTGGTCCAGATCTCGCACAATGCGAAAGACGGCATCTGGACGAGCAATGCGGAGTGCGTTGGCAGCCATCTGTTTGAACTGGTCTGCCTTGGGCCCAAACCAATCCGACACAATGTTTGCAATCTCTTTGGGATTCTCCTCAAACAGTCCGGTGCCATTGTCGACAACGTATGGAACATTTCCAGCTTCCTGAGGGAGCCAGGGGCATGAAAGGGAAGCCAAGAGGCATGAAAATGAAATCCAGCACAGAAAAGTCACATGGGCTGGAATCTGGGTAACCCAAACAGTTACAGATGATCCGGAGAGAGAGAAAAAGACAACGCACCTGTCCTGCAATGAAGTCATTGAGCACCATGGGTAGACCCCGGATCATGGACTCTGCTATCGTGCCAGGACCAGCCTGCACAGAGGCATTTGAAAGGAAGGTAGCAGAAGCCGTTTGAAACAAAGAATACAGAAAAAACTTGAGAAAGATACAGCAAGAATCATCTGCTCAGAGCCAATACTTGTAAAAAAAAGGTGACTAAGCTGGCGGTTTTGCTGGTTCATGATACGGCCGCGCATGACGATAGGTCTAGCCAAATACAAGCACGCCATGTGCAGCACCGTGCATCACTAACAGGGTAGCAGCACGGCCGCATGACACCATGCAGAAGCAACACTAACCTTAGTGATGATGCAGTCACATGCGGCCATTACGTCAGGCATATTGGTCACAAATCCCTTCAGCTGCAATAAGGGCAAGATATGCAAACGGGAAACAAGAAAGAATCAAGAAGAGGGGAGACCACAGGGAAGAAGTTGAATGCTTCGGAAGCGATACAGCATGACTTAGAAAACAGGGGGACGGAATAGGAGACAATAGTTTTCATTCACTACATGGAAGTTCCAGCCAGCATGGCTGAACCCCACACTGAGATTCATCCTCATGCTCAACAGTTTAACCCAACCCAATACCCATCTGCTGCTACCCATCCTGATTATCAACAGCCAAAACAAATCCCATTCCCCATCGTGATCCAAACACCCACACTCATATCCCACTCATTCGACTCCCGCACGTACCACGACAGGCAAGGGCCAATTGACGGCCTGGAGATTAGCCAGCAGCTTCGTGTTGCGCCCACAGATCACCACCAGCTGTCCCTTGGCCACCGCCTCCCCATCAGCTACCCAACCTGATCCAAACACCCATCCAAGCACTCATTTCGACTCCCACACGCACCACAACAGGCAAGGGCCACTTGACGGCCTGGAGATTAGCCAGCAGCTTCTTGTTGCGCCCACAGATCACCACCAGCTGCCCCTTGGCCACCGCCTCCCCACCACCCGCAGGCGCCAGGGTGGCTGCCAGCGCCCTTGCAGTCGCCTCCACTGGCCCCATGCCCTCCCCTCCGCCAATCAGCAGCGCTGCTGGCAGGTCAGGGTCCATCCCCAATGCCCGGCGCAGCTCGTCCTGTTCCAGGAAGTGTCAAGGGGTGGGGGGTTGAGGGGGAGAGTGGGAAGGGGGAGAGTGGGACGGGGGAGAGTGGAGAGGGCGTTGTGAGAGGTAGGGGAGGCCTGCACAGCTTCTTGTTGCGCCCGCAGATCACCACCAGCTGCCCCTTGGCCACCGCCTCCCCACCACCCGCAGGCGCCAGCATGGCTGCCAGCGCCTCGTCCTGTTTCATAAGATGAAGTGACGTCGGGGGGAGTGAAGGTGGGTGGGACATGAGGGTGAGGATGGAGGTGGGGGGACAGAGTGCAGGAGAAAGGTAATGGACACGGTAGGGTGAGAATGAAGAAAGTGGGATAACCAGGGGAAAAAGGAGTACCTTGGAAGCTGAGGGCTTGGCGAAGGCTGGTTGGGTGGGAATCCTGTGCACTTTGATCTGAGGCGGCTGCAGACCCGCCTTGTGAGATCGTTGAGAATTTGCAAAAGTGATTCCAATGTACCTTGGGAGCTGAGGGCTTGGCGAAGGCTGGTCGGATGGGCAGTCCGTGCACTCTGATCTGAGGCGGCTGCAGACCGGCCTTGAGCGCTCGTTGTGCCACGTCCTTGGTGGGGCAGAAGCACACCGTCACCAGTCGGTGGAACCTGGTGGAAGGCGGTTGAGAAGAAGGCAATGAGAACTTCACGTGTGTTATCATGTACGTTAATCTCACGTGATGCCACGTCCTTGGTGGGGCAGAAGCACACCGTCACGAGACGGTGGAACCTGGTGGAAGGCGGTTGAGAAGAAGGCAATGAGAACTTCACGTGTGTTATCATGTACGTTAATCTCACGTGATGCCACGTCCTTGGTGGGGCAGAAGCACACCATCAACAGACGGTGGAACCTGGTGGACGGTGGCCGAGAAGAGGCATATGATTATTTTGTGTGGGTTATCACGCTCTTAATGAATGGGATTCATGGGGAGCCATGTCCTTGGTCGGGCAGAAGCACACCGTCACCAGACGGTGGAACCTGGTGGAAGGGTAGAGGTGAAGAAGGCATTCAGAGCTTCACGTGTGGGTTATCATTTCCGTGACCGATGAGAAGGTGTCTGAACCAGGGAGGCACTTGCAGGACACTCAAAAGCGGTTGAGGAATGTGGTGGCATGTGGGAGTTACTCTTCAAAATCCTCCAGCGGTTCACAGCCTGTAACGCCAAAAACGGCTACTGTGCTTAGTGTCTTACCAGGTGGGGTGGCATGTGGTGAGGTCGGTAATGACGGTGGTGAAGGGGATGCGGTGCAGCAGGCCTCGCGAGCGCAGCACGCGCAGAGGGATGTGTTGCATGAGCGGATGCACGCTCACGATCACGTCCGGCTTGTACTTGTCCAACATCTTGGACACCTCCCTGATGGAACGTGGCACACCAAGACGGAGAGGGTAAGAAGGAAAGGAAGGGCACGGGGTTTGATCGATTGAAGGCTGGAAAGCAGAGCACGCGCAGGGGGATGTGTTGCATGAGCGGATGCACGCTCACTATCACGTCCGGCTTGTACTTGTCCAACATCTTGGACACCTCCCTGATGGAACGTGGAAACAGCATTGGGGAGGGCACAGGATGACATGGGGGGGAAGGAGTTAGACTGATAGATCGAAGGTTTTGGAACAAATAGATTCGACGTCGAAAAGAGAACTGGATTGACTAAGACCCCAGTTTCACAGGATGCATACCCAATGGCTCAATCATCGAGTTTTGCATTTGAAGGCTTCTTCATTTCAGCCCGAGTTGTTCATTCGCTTGTTCTTTGGCTTGTGCTGGGTGGAGAAATTCTTGCTCGCCCAAGATAAACAAGCAGCACATTATAGCCCTGAAAAGAAGCTCTGTTCGCTTAGCGTCTAGCAGAAGTTGGGCTTGGCATTGTAGAACGCCACCAACCAGAGCGTCTCGTGAGAAATAAATAACACGCTCGTGTTTCTAGGAGCCCCAGGTCTGTTGTTTCTGCTCCTGGGAAACGAGTAACACACTCCAATCCCTCTCCACTCACCTCGCAACGAACGCGGAGGTCGCAGCCATCTGCGGCTGGTGCACGAACTTGGGCTTGGTGGCGTAGAACGCCACCTTCCAGAGCGTCTCGTGGCGCACGAGGAAGCTGTAGCTCTTGGGCATCTGGTTGAAGGGCCACGGCGTGTGCTCCTTCCACAGGTCGATGATGGTCACCTGGCGGAGAGGACAGTGGAAGCAGAGAGAAAAGAGGAAGCGCCTTCACACGTGTTCCAGTCGCAATGCAAAAGCTTCTCACTTCGTACTTCCCCTTCTCACAAGCGCATACGCATTGTGCGTAAAAGGTTCCACATTGGACTTGAAATTCAGACTAACAGACGTAACAAACTTCTTTCCACTCACCGCATACGAATTGCAGACACGATAACGGCTGCGTTGCTCTTGGCTCTGTGTCTAACTCACCTCGTACTTATTTCCGTATTCCAGCTCGAAGGTCGACTTGATCGCCTCCGCACTGGCGCGGTGACCTCCACCGGTGTCGCTCATGAGAATGAGCACGCGCTTCTTGCGCTCAGCGTCCGCCACTTTCTTCTCCGGTTCTGCTATTGCGGTCGCCGCGTGCTCCACGTCATTCTTGGCGGGTTCATACCGCCCATGCCGCCAGCTTTGGATTGATCCGCGGCCGCGGCGATAACCTGTTGTTTAAAGAGACATTGTGATTAGGTTGAGTACGTGAGGACAAAGGGAACCTTTGGATTCGAGCGAACGAGGGGTAAATTAAAAACCATACTGACCTAAGGGAATGATTCCCCGGTTGCTCCGAAATAGGTCGTTCAGCATTCGCCCGAGGCCTCCAGCATTGCCTCCTGCTGACATCGTCACCAAGCTCCCAGCATTCTTATCAGACGCTTCCAACAGGTGACCGTTCGTAAGGCCTCCCTTTGCCACGACCAGTGGCTGAGGCTGACGAATGTCGTCACGAACATCGTCAAAATACAAAAGCTCGTCTGTCGTTCTCGAGGCTGAACGCTTGATTGCTGAGGGAAGATTCCTGTTGTCGTCAACCCGACTCGTACTGTCCTTGCTTGTATCCAGGTAACCCGCCGTTAATGCAGTGCGCTGAGAGAAAAGGTTGGAGTTGAGACTGAGCGAAATGGAAGCCAACGTCATAAAATTCGGTTCTGCTGAAACCCGCTGCTGTGAACATTCGGAGGAATCCATCTTGGTTTTGCCTGAATGAGTTGCTTCTAACTATATAGTTCTGCCACTAGTTTGAAGGTCCTGAGCTACTAAAAAGCTTACGCAGAGAAGACACAACTTGTGAAAAATAACGTAAGACAAATGAGTCTTCTTGTCGCCTCGAAGAGATTCTACAACACTAAAACAAAACAATTTCAAATAAACATGAAACTAGCTTGGTGAAGGAAAAAACTACTGACGACCGGCTAGGCTAAGGTCGCAGACCAAGCTAACCATCTAACGTGCCTGCTTGTGTTGGAGGCTGTTTGTGTTGGAGCCTGCTTACGCCAATCCCTAGGACAGGCTAACCACATGGAAAAACTGGTATGTTGCAAGCTTGTCAGGGCTCTAGACCAGACAGAAGTGGAGGTCCCTCCCGAGATGGAGATTTCTATGGCGACCAGACCAGGCCTGACCTCACGTGAATGGGAGGGATGGGAGGGAGGCATGAAAGGGTGGGAAAAA